TGATCGAGATAGCAGGTTTACCTCCAGATATTGGCAGTCTCTCCAGAAGGCTCTTGGAACTAAACTAGACATGAGCACGGCTTATCATCCTCATATCGATGGACAGAGTGAGAGAACTATCCAAACCATGGAAGACATGCTGAGAGCATGTGTCATCGATTTCGGAAAGTCGTGGGACACACATTTGCCTTTGATCGAGTTCTCGTATAACAACAGTTATCACACCAGTATCAAGACTGCTCCGTTTGAAGCCCTGTACGGTCACAAGTGCAGATCCCCTCTGTACTGGGCCGAGGTAGGGGACACACAGCTAGCCAAGAGTCAAGTCCGCGACAATGCTCTCATTGGTCCTGAAATCATCTGCGAAACCACAGAGAAGATCATTCAGATCCGAGAACGACTGAAAGCTTCACGAGATCGACAGAAGAGTTACGCCGATATACGACGGAAACCTCTGGAGTTCCAGGTTGGAGACTGTGTCCTGTTGAAGGTCTCGCCCTGGAAAGGCATGGTACGCTTTGGAAAGTGTGGAAAACTTAACCCGAGATACATTTCACCTTTTGAGATCCTCTCCATGATCGGTCCTGTAGCCTATAAACTTCAATTACCCCAAGAGCTTAGCAACATCCATCCCGTCTTCCATGTCTCGAATCTTAAAAAGTGTTTATCCGACAAAACCCTCGTGATCCCTCTGGACGAGATCGAGATCAATCAAAACTTGAACTTCATGGAGGAACCGATCGAAATCATGGATCGAGAGATCAAACATACGAAACAAAGTTGCATCCCGATAGTGAAGGTTCGCTGGAATGCCAAGCGGGGACCGGAATTCACTTGGGAGCGTGAAGACTCGATGAAACAGAAGTATCCGCATCTCTTTCCAAATCCATGATTTGTATCATAATTCTGAATTTTGGGACGAAATTCCCTCTAACGGGGGGATAATGTGACAACCCGAAGTTCGTTCTGTCATTGTAACCCGTTCCGTCAATAAAATTCCTTGTTTTCGAATTGTTTCCGTTTACATTTTTAAATTAAGTCATTAATTTTGAGTCTTCTATTATGACTTAATGGATGTCCAAACACACTAGAAACTCATGATAACGCCCTAATTTAGTAATTGGAAAAATTTTAGTTTCGACCATATCGGGTTACGACAACTTAATCGGGTGCGACCAAAAGCCTCGTTTAACGTCAGTATCGGGTAGAATTCCACCGTGTCCCAAACTCGAACCATATATAAAGCTCAAATGACTTCCATTGGAAGCTTTTCACCCTCTCTCACTACCCTCTCTCTATAATCTCAATCTTGGTCCAAAATCATCCAATTCAAGCCCCAAATTGATAAGGTAACTATCCTAACTCTTAGATTAGCATCCTTAGCCATCAAATTCGTGTTCAAACTATGAAATAGGACTATAAGCATGTGTTTACAGCCCTAGAACACTCATAGGCCATAAATACACATAAAAGGGGTTTTTGAGCCCCAAAACCCTCCCAAATCACTTTTAGAGCTTGGAAATGACTTAAGGACTTATTGGAATGGACTTGGAATACCATAAACTCAACATTTAGGGGGTAAACATGAGCTTACGGCCCAAGAACATGCTTGGACCATAAACACCATTTCATGGGTAGTAAACACATTTTAAGGTGTTAAGATGCCCCTTAAACACCTCCTAAGCCTTGGAATAAAGTCTAGAAGCAACCACAAATGAGTTAGGGGCCTTAAACTTAATAAAAACCACTCCCTTAGGAGTTCACGGCCGTAAACCCCCCAAGGATAGGTTCCTGGGCCGTAAACTCCTATATCTTAGTCAAATGATGCCCTAAATTCATTCCATGGCTTGTAATATGAGTTTGAATCGCATGTGATTAATCTAGGGCCACCAAAACATGAAAGGAAAGAGTATATAGGAGCTTACGGCTATAAACTCCATTTGATAATCCCTTTGGTGGTTTAATCCTTCCCTATACCCTAGATTTGATCCTAGTCAAATTCCCCAAGTGATGTGTGACCTTTAAACACCCTAGAACACATCACCCATGAGTTTACGGCCGTGAACTCATGGGGAAGTGGTCTTAGGGCCGAAAACTCCCAAAGGAGTTTACTCTTGAAGAGCAAACTCCATATCTAGGCCCTATACGTCCATAGATGCCACCCGGGTCACTTCGAACACTTGTTTGAAGTGTTTTCGCGTCTTGGAGTGTATATTCATATCTAATTAGTGGTTCAAAGTCTAATTAGATACAATTGTATATCTCTTCATATTACATAGGAACCTCGGTGCGTTATCAAGCCCCGAACTGACACTTAGTATCCAAACCGACATGTTTTTCCGTCTGGTGAATTCATACCCCTACACCTTTTTCTACGTTTTCAAATGTTTTCAGGGGGGAATACAAGCAAAAAGTACAAGAATATCTTGTACTTAAACTATTTATTACATTTAAAATGTTTGATATTCACATGCTTTTAACATTGGAAACAATATTAACCAACCGTTTAACCTGTACAGTTAGTTTTCAAACTATTTGTGAAACTCTTTATAAACTGTTATGTTTTATATTTCACAAATGATTTGTTCCATGTCATCACTGTTAAAAGCATTAGATTAGTACATTTGAATTGTCCTCGGTAACACTCCACAGAGATACGCGAGTGGAGGATCACCGTTTGTAACAGGATTATTCCGTATTATTACTAGTAAATTTGTTATTCCTAAAAATTGGAGACACGTCCTCGGAAACACTCCACAAAGATACGCGAGTGGAGGACCGCCCCTGTAACCAAAATCTCTTTGAGGGAGAGCGTGACTTGAGTGTATAGATCTATACGGGGCTGACTACCCCGCACCTGGCTGCTAGCTACAGCCGAACCGAACGGTTCAAGGGTGACAAAAGTCATAAATAATATTGGCCTTCCCTCTGCCATATCTAGTCTATCGTATGGTTATGGAACTCGCAATTTTGATAACAGAGATTTACTTGTTAGTAATAATGAATTTAGTAACTATTTTACTTTATACTTATTAGTTTTATATACGTGTTAAAACTAATGCACTACACAAGGATAACCAGGTTTTCAGAATACATCTCTTACATTTCATTTCAGATTAGTAACCGAAAATATGGGATTTTCCTGGGGTAACAACTGTTCATAACCAGAATTGTGTAACAAAACAGATAACTAAATATTACTTTTAAGAAAATATGGGATTTTCTTGGATAACAACTCTTTCAGTAAACCAAAGGAAACTTGTTCATTTTCAGAACACAAACCGCTTTTGAACTCACCAGCTTTATGCTGATTTTCAAACTGCTTGTATTCTCAGGTCCACATTAGATAGGTACCCAACGATCCTTTTGGCGAAGACGGAGTACGTAGAAGACACGTCTTTACTTTTGTTCATATATACATATGTATAACACTTGTAACACTTTACTTTCAAACAAATGTAAATTTTCGTATGTAATGTAATGGTTGTTTACATTGCTTACTATGTACATTGGTTGTGATACTTAACATGACGTCACCTCCACCCCGGAACGATTCCGCCTTCGGTTTCGGGGTGTGACAGTTTATCCGTGCAAAACGTCAATGACGAATGGTTTATTTCGAAAACTAGTTTTTTTCGGTAACATATGATATTGTGTGCAAATTACATATTATTCTCACCATCATTGAAAATAATGGTTTTTGTAATCATGTTACTTCCCTATGGGTGCAACATGCAAACTTGTCTATGTGATATTGTTCTAGGCAACGATTAATAAAGTTGTCATGCAAAACATGTTCAATCTAACTTGGATACATAAATGTAGGAACCGGTCCAATTCAATTATAATTATATATCGTTGAATTTTATATTTTTCATCATTTCATGAGGCTTTTCTAAGACTCTAACATATATATATATATATATATATATATATATATATATATATATATATATATATATATATATAATATATATATATATATATATATATATATATATATATATATAATAATAATAATAATAATAATTCAGTTCACTACATTGAACTAAAAAGGATACAAAACAAATGTTAATAAAATGAGGGGTGGATTTGAAGTTTTTATAAAATCAAAGAGAATTATTAATATTGCACACGTTAATGATAAATTAATATTTCAATTTTCTAATAATAGTTAATATTTAGTAGCATAACCAACCAAAACACTTGATATATGCCAACATAAACAAATCGATTTGTTGAATATCTATATACGATCCGTTGCTACTCCTCTATACAATAACAATAAAAATACTAAAATATGCTTTGTTGCTTCACCTTGATGCTATCTTCCAGTAATGCAAGTCTTGTATCAATGAAAAGGCATGTGGCTTCCCCTTCAAATACCCTCTTTTTCCTGGAAAATTTTCTAATTTTCTAAACTCAAGTAGAATTTTTTTAACTTGGAGCTTGTTTAGTCAGGTTGACCCACTTTGAATCCCTTTCTATCCATGTATACATTATCAATAAAATTTAAAATAAGATACTTTTAAACGTACAAATTGCCAACAACTTACATAAATATGAAACTTTGCTCTTAAGAAATCTACCGGATGCCAAAAGAGATGATACTTTCATTATTTTATTATAAAGTTCAAGAAATACAACAATAACACTTCCTAGGAAAATTTTAATCCTTTGCTCTACTTCGAAGCTATGTAGATATAAAAAAAAAGTATTAACCATAAACCAATGACATTTAACTCGTCTTCTATTTTGAAAACTTATAAATAGGTGGAAGAAAGCCTTTACCAGTTGCATAAAGGGAGATGTAAGTAAGACCCATGAAATGAAGAGAAAAAACATTAGAAAGAACCACAACATGCAACATAAATCAATACTCATGCTCACAAAACTTTGTATCCGTCCAAAGCCAAACCACAAAATTAAGCTTTTGGTTCCTTCTTTTTGAAATTTTGTTGTTAAACACAAACACACATAGTAAACACATCCTCAATACACAGTTTAAAATAAAAACTTATACTTGAATAAAGGTACAAGACAAACAATTAGCATAATTTGATATGAAATTTAATGAAACCATATACACGGTCATGTCTAAAAGAAATAATAGGCATTGGAATAACCCCATCCTTTTTTTCATAAATTTATGTTATTCTATAAATAACTACTCTAACTTTGTTGACATGTTAAAAAAACTATTTTATTGAGTTTGAGAAAAAGTAATCAACATGTATAGCAAATGGTTCCATCATTCAAGAGATTGGTAAAGTGAATGTATTTGAAAAACAGGTCAAGGTTGTGTTTATTACTCTGGCTCCCAATTACTCTAACGATAAATGTGTTAAAAAGCATATATTTTTCCATAATTAAATAATAATCCATGAAAATGTAGAAAAACAAAATTATCTTATACTTTCTTCTTGTGCCAAAATAAAATAATGATCGCCTAAGACATTTGCAATTTTTACCAAGAGCCCCTCACACATTTGGTTAATGTATTGGATCTTAGTAAATAGTGATTTAACCAACTCATGCTCTTTTGAAAAATCTAATTCAAAAAAGCCAATACAAATTAATATATGCAATGTAAGATATGAGTGATCTTATATGTGGATACAATTACATATAAACTGGAGGCCACCATATCATAACCGGAACCGAGTTCAGCTTCAATAGATCATGCATAAGCCATATACAGGTAATTAGTATTATTTAAAATATCTAAAACTAAAACTTGATATATAAAACCAATTGAACATAGAATTTCCCATATTGACAAAAATTTGCTCAAATATTTCTTAATTTATAGATTTTTAAACCTGAGAAGGTATATTACAAATGATGCAGTTCAATTTTGTTATATCATAAGAGGTTGAGGAAAAATGATGCAATTCATATCAGATAGATGCAATGACTAAACAAACCTTACCATTCAGCCACAACCTCTTTTCCCATCTTCCATCTTTTCCTTTTCCCTCTTCAATCTTTTTGGCAACTTCTATATGTTGGAATTGGAGTAACATACTCTGTATTCATTACAAAAAAAATTGTTTTAGATAAATCACCACAAAACAATAATATCAAATAATGTATTCTCCATAAAAATGCAATTAATACAAAGGTACCAAAGAAAATTAAATCTATAGAGTTATTGAGCAAATGGTTGCACATGGGATGGAATTGATTGTATTCATCCCGTTACTAGGAAAAAAGATTAAGCAAAAAAGGCATTCATATAGGTCCAAATTTATAAACTTGAGTCTAGATATTTTCAAAACATTTTATTTGTAATTGTAATATTTTGAAAGAAAAGTCTGAAAACATAAAACTCAAATTTCCATTTCACTGAAGACATATGCCCTTCTCTGCTCCAAATAAATACATTTGTGAGTAATTACATCAAACACCTTATGTGCATGCGAATAAAAATCAAAATATGAATGTTAAAATAAGTTTGTTTCAGGCTAGAAGTCAAATAATAAAAAAAATGGCCAGGTAGAAAGCTTACATAGACCAATCTGGGACAAGGTAAGACTTTTACCTTACATACTGGGTGGGGATATCTAATTCAAGTTCAAGTATTGTACCTGAATTGGCAAAATAACAATCGAAATCTTGATTGGTTAGAGTTGAAATCTTACACGAATAGACAATCTTGCAAATAATGAAAGAAAAACAACTCCTGTTAGTCGAAAATTGTGTTATTAAAATATGCTTGTTCAAGTTAAGAGCATGAATTTTTCTAACACGCATAATATTAATAAAGTGATAGAAAATGAAAGAATATTTTGATTTATAATCTCATAAACCAATATCTTGATAGTTTCCTTTCATCCTAATCTAATAGATTTTCACATACCTGTTCGTGAACCATGGTCAATAGCTCCATCAGAACATTTTTTTCCAGATTTTTCCTTGGTCTGAAGTTTACAAAGAATAATAAGATAGCAAAAGTGTACATGGGGTCGGCTACTAACCTTCATAGAGAAGGATTGTAGTAGAAACGAAAAGAAACTAAAAATACAAAATTGCAAATGAGGAAAATCAAAAGTAAAAAAAAAAACAAAACAAAAACGTTAGTAATCAAGAGAAAAAAGATAAAATGTATAAGAAAATGAAGGAAATTTACTTACCTGTTCAACTCTAACTCTAGGTCTTCATTTCAAGATGAAAAATATAAACGTTTTGAATGAATGGCACATCATATCTTTTTGTACGTGTTCGTTGAGGTTTCTGGCATTGGCCTGATGTGGTTGTCTAATAGGAAAAAAAAAAGAAATGAAAAACAAAGAGAGGGAAGAACTGAGATGGATGGCATACAAAAAATAAGTACAAAATCTGAAATCCAACCTTTTGCAGAGAGAAAGATATGAACGCCAACTTTTTTATTTTTTGAAGCCAAATTCAATTAAGCGATCTACTCTAATACTAAAGGTTCCTGCCTCGTTTGTACTTTGAGTGGTGATGTTAGCAGGGGCTTGTTGGCTGTGGGTCGTGATGGCTTTAGTCGAAGCTGTAAATGATGGTGGCAGTGCTCGACGCATAGTGGTGGTCGTCGTGGTAGACAGAGTTTGTGGACGGTAGCAATTGGCATGGTGTGCGTGTGCGTTTGTGAGTGGTGGTGTAAGCGGGGCTAGCAAAGGATGCTGGTGACAAACCTTAAAATTGAGGGTTACTAAGATACAAAGAAGTGAGAGCATTCTTCACACCTTAGAATTGAGAAATATGAGAGAATGGCTAAGTTGATAGGAGTAGGGTTTCTTATTTAGAGAGAAAGAAGAAGCCTGGAAGGCAAACATATTGAGGAGTGGGACCAAAATCAGCGGCCAATGGTGGTTAAAAAGAGAGGAGAATTTCATGATTGAAATCCGAAAATACGGGGTTTTGAATAATTTGATGAGTCTCTGTTTTGAATGATTTGAATAATTTGGTGAGTCTCTGTTTTGAATGAATCTCTAATATTCTATGCACAAAATTGGGGAATTTGTTTGTTGACTTTTTCAATGGTTGCGTCAGTAAGTTCTGATTTTCAGGAATGCATAAACTGGTTGTAAATGTTGTATTAAAAGATGTACCTCTTAAAATTCAGCAAAACATTCTAAATGGTTATTAAGGGATATATATATATATATATATATATATATATATATATATATATATATATATATATATATATATATATATATATATATATATATATATATATATATATATATATATAGAGAGAGAGAGAGAGAGAGAGAGAGAGAAAGTAAAATTAGTTACCTATACGATATTACATGTCATTGCATAAAATCTTGATTTGGATTGTTTATTTAGCATTGCAATAGCTCTAAAAAAAGTAAGCATTATTGATTTCTTAGAATCTATAGAAAAAATAACAGTTACAGAATACTAAATAATAAACTTCTTACTTTTCGATATGTGTTGGGATATCATAGTCTTCAAATGTCTTCATACCTTGACATGAATCCAAAATGTAGCATGCATGTGTACAAGGGCAGACTACAAATAATATGTAGTGAAACCTAGTAAAGTTTAAACATGTCAGCAAAAATTATTGACAAACAAATAAGGCGTATAGCATTTTCTAAAATATCATACCCTTGCAAATATGGTGCTAGAAAAATATCTTTATGTTGATGAAAGTTCATTGCATCAACTAACTCATTTACAACAACGTTTGTTCCGAGTTCCTCATCGGTTCCACATTGCAAGGCCGTGATTTTTTGCGGGTTTATGAAGGCACATTTATTATCGTGTTGAAACATTGAATGTAGCATCCTGAAAAAAAAAATGTATATATTATAAAGGTAAACTACTATGAAATATTAGTTATTTAAATGTTAACATACTCACATCTGAAAGCAAAAAATAGAATCGACATCGAGTTACTTATTCGTCATAAGCTCTTTAATCACGGCCGAATAGATTACAACGTCAGTCCTCCCAGCTCCAAAGATCTCTAGCTCACTTCTAACATGAATTGGATATTCAATGTTGCAGCTCATAAAAGTTTTATACAATAACTTGATCTTTGGCCTACCATTTAGTTCTTTTGGCATCACAAATTGTGATATTTTCTTTGTAAGGGGCAAACTGCTGGTCTCCTCGTACTTTCTTTTTTTTTGGTGTATCTACATTAAAAAACCATTTGATCAACTAAAAGTTTTAAGGCCTAACAATAAGTTTAAGCTACTACCTTATCACTAGGATTATGAGAAGTATTAACCTGTGTTGATGATGGTGTCGGTGTCGGTGTCGATGTCGGTGTTGGTATTGTCGTCGATGTGTGGGGAGGTCATTGATCTTTTTGCACATTTGGAGTGGGCTAGGAAGTTTAGAAATGGTTACATATTGAATTCATTATATATGACTATAATATTAAAAAATAAAGGAAATTTGTATTTTACCTTAACTAGAGTAATTGGATTTCGTGGCCATTGTGTAAAACCATACAATGCATTCCCCAAATTACATGTTTCTTCAGTCGACATAGGAAGAGGGAACAACTTATAACCGTCATAAATCTTTCATACAGATACCTTCACATGATGCTCTTTGAGCGGTATCCCATGTAACATCCCATTCTCTTATGGGTAGACTTTCCCTTCGGCAACGATATGATGTTGTGTATCTGATGGTAGCAACAACTAACACTCAATGGGAGCCTACACACACACACACACACACACACACATATATATATATATATATATATATATATATATATATATATATATATATATATATATATACCATGTACTTAATTAGTTTGTTAATGCGTGTTTAAATATATTCTATATGAAGAAACAATGTATACCTTTTATATTATCTAATGCATCCATCATTGTAGATACAACACTAGGTTTCTTCAATTTTGGGCTTCTAACTTTTATCTCCTCGTTCCTACGAGTATCATCATGTTGCATCATGCCATGATTCACACTAGTAGCCACCATTGAGTCGACCATGTCTCCAACAGTATCTACCACCTTAGCCATCATATCAAGCACCATATCAGTCATCAGCTTATCATATAACTTCTCATATAACTTATTAAACAATCTCTCCTCTAGCCTCATCACCAAATCTTCCAAATCTGGTAACTCTTGTTGTTTCTTATTTCTATGGTTAATCCTTGATTCTTTTAGAGTGACATTATAACCCACTGCCCTCGTGCGACTTGGGTGCTCTTTTCCTAAAACCGTTTCCATCAAATCAACTATGGGTTTATCTTTTTGTTGGAATAGTGTCTAAGGCTGCAACTATATTTGGCAAGTATTTGACCCGATTGAGCATGGTCCTTTTGGGTTGCCTTCACCATAGCAACTTGATAGGATGATTTATAATAAGAGAAGAAATATTATTAATGTATTATGAAAATAATATAAGGAATAATAATATTATTATTTGATTAAAAAAAAATCATAAATTAATTAGGAATTAATTTGGTGACTTAAAGAGATTAATTAAATAAAGGGGCATAAACTGTCAATTGTATGATAGTTGTATTTTGAGCTATGATTCCATATGGATAAGGTGTGGAAGATTTTAGAGTTTGGAAGAGCCTAGAAATTGTCCAAGACTTATCAATAAGGAGATTGGATTGCTTAGGGCCTAAGTTATCCAATTAGGGTTTAAGGGTGAAACCCTAGGAAGCTCACTAGTATATATAAACCCCTAGGGGTGAGGAAATCGGCACCTCTTGGTATTAGAGTTACCCTGGCCGACTTTTCTCTCCCTCCTCTCTCTTTCATATCACCCTCTTGCTAGTTGGTGTTTGTAAGCCATTAGAGGAGTGACAATTGTGACTCTAAGCTCCAAGGACAAGAAGATTCAAGCAAGTAATCAAAGGTAATGTTTTAGATCTGTTTTCATTAGATCTATCAATCAAAGTCTTGGATACATTGAATGTTTAAATAGAGAAACCTAGATCCAAGCATTAGGATTTGTATGTGCACATAGGAATGTTCTTATGGCTCAAACCCATCAGTGGTATCAGAGCCTTGATTGGTTTCTATTAAATTGATGCATTGGTTGCTTGATTGTTGATTGAAAAATTCGATTTTTGTCCATCTGCCTGATGAACTCGGCGAGTCCAGTGTGGTACTCGGCGAGTCCGAGCGTCAAATGGAGCTATTTTCGGGATTTCTTGTTGTTTATCTTATGGAAACTTGCATTTATCTTTATGGGTCAATATAAATCCGATTTTAACATATATTTGAGTATATCCTTGACCTAACAAAAGATACTTACCAATTAATTGAATAATAATTTCCTTATGTGATAATTAATTGATTATTTTAATTAAATTGGTGAATTGTTTTGCAAGAAACATTTAAATAAATCAAATATGGATAATTATGAGATTAAATGGTTAATTTAAATTATTTGTTATTTGATCCCTTGTGTTTTGAAAAGGTTTAAAACAAACCCTCAAGTTTTGAAATTTAGTTTTGCGATTAAAAGTTTAATTTGGACAACTTAAATTACAAACCCTAGAATTTTACAAGTTTAAAATTCAAGCCTATACTAATATAATATTACAAGAATAATCTATATATATATATATATATATATATATATATATATATATATATATATATATATATATATATATATAGAGAGAGAGAGAGAGTCAAGATCAAATAAGAAGGAAATTTTTTGTAGGAAGGTAAGAAGTTTTTTTTCTACATAGTTTTTTCGCTAACAAACAAAATGGATCATTAGATGATTCATTTGTAAGATGATTCACAAGAAAGAATTCTCAAAAAAACATCTCGATGATTCATTTATACAACGATTTTGTTATTACTCACTAAAATTATCATAAAAATGAATTTTTTCTTAATTTACTTAAAAATGAATCATAAAGATGTTTTTTGGGAATTTTTTCTTATGAATCATCTTACAAATGAATCATCTAGTGATTCATTTATTTTGTTCGTTAAAAAAAATATGTAGAAAAAAACTTCTTACCTTCCTACCAAAAAAAATTTCTTATCGGATCTATATATATATATATATATATATATATATATATATATATATATATATATATATATATATATATGTTTGATTAAAATGCTAGTCTTACCGTTAGTAGGCCCCATTCACGAAGTCGGTCTATAAGGTGGGTATAAGGTTGCGGCCTATAAAATGGCGCTTAATGGGTGTAAACTCACACCCACCGCTTGCTTGACCGGTGGAAGGTCGTTAGCCGAACGGGTAGGATAGGACAACTTTATCTCCTCATTAAAAGTATAATGTTAAATACAAAGTAACTACATGTTTTTCAAATTCCCAATCCTAGTTACTTTAGGAAAAGTGAATTGATGCAATCCCATGAAATTACACTTTGCACCCTTGTTAAGAAGTTAGTGGAGCGTGTGTGGTTTACCGGAACACTAATTGGTTCTAAGCAAAGGTGACAAAGGCTGATTCATTGTTTATCATAGTTCGGTGGAGCATGTGTGGTTTACCGACACTTTGAATAGGTGATTGTTACAATGAAGGCACCGTGTAGATCCTCGGCATCCCAGTCCCAAACGAGATGGGCATATCGAGATTTAAACATGCCATTGAAAAGTTCAATGAATCTCATCGAAACCCAGGAATTCTCAATACATTTAGAACTTAAGGTCATGTTTTCATGGTGGAGAATTCGTGAATCGTCATTCACTTACCTTCAAATTGT